CCCTACTCTCTGCCGCCTTTCCCCTGCCTACTGGCCTCCTCCGCACTTTCTCTTCAACCTCCCACTGGCCTCCGTCCGCCTGGCCGCCTCATTCCCCTTCATCCGCCCCCTTCGTTCGCCCGATCTCCATCTGCCCTCCTTCCCCCAATCTCCTTCCTCCCCTTCCTTCCTCAGCCTGATCACCACCTGACCACTTCCTTCCTCAGCCTGATCACCACCTGACCACCTCCTTCCATTCCTCCCTCCGATGTACTCCCTACCTGCCCCTTCCTCCCTCAACTGGAGGCCCTCCTTTTGTAACGCCCGAGCCAGTGGACGTAAACGCTCCATTTGTTATCAAGATCGCTCCATTTCTTTTAAAGATCTCAACACCGTTGCACACGCTGAAGAAGGAGAGAGGGAAAGCAGGAGAGAGAAACACGCATTTCACCTAACACATTTCCTCCTCTCGCTCTTCCTTCCTCGCACCTTCTTTGCCCTTGTCTCTCTTCCACCACCACGTCTTCTGCCTCCTCAAGATCTTCCTCCTCAACATTCTCCCTCGGTCTTTTTTCTTYGGAGCRGCCTTATGATTAACTGCCCTGCACCAGGTATTTCAGGGTATCGATATTTCTTTCCATACTTCACTCTCTTCCTCCCCAAGCCCTACACACACCACACTGAGTCACCCCTCTCTCTCTCTCTCTCGCGCGCGCGCGCACGCGCACGCGCCATCCATCCACACATCTCGCTGTGTGCGTCTGTGCGCAACCGCACGCGCGACACGCTCGCCCTTATTCACATTGGAAAAAAAATGTGGCGCTAAGCCGTAACGCAAATTGAGAAAGCTAAGAAAAACGGAATGCACTCTCTATATCATTCCCAGATAAGGTAGCACGAAAGGAGGGAGGACAGAGGGCCGAGGAAGGTAACGCGACCGGAGGAAGGACCGCAAAGGCGACGGAGGGAAGAAGGAAGGAGAAAGGGAGGAAGAAGGGAGGGCCGATGATGAGCACCAAAAGCACGTCTGGATGGATTCACGCTGAGCACGCATCCACGGTGAGCACGCATCCATGGTGAGCACACATCCACGGTGACCGCGTCTGGATGAGCATGAAAATCACGGATCAATGATGAGCACATCTGGATGGATTCACGATGAGCACCGAGCATGAAAAGCACGCATCCACGGTGATCACCGGTGGATGGATTCACAATGAGCACGTCAGGATGGATTCGAGATGAGCACGCATCCACGGCAATCACTGAGCATGAAAAGGACGGATCGATGATGAGTACGAAAAGCACATATCACCGATGAGCACGAAAAGCACGGATCAATGATGAGCATGAAAAGCACGTATCAACGATGAGCACAAAAAGCACGGATCAATGATGAGCATGAAAAGCACGGATCACCGATGAGCATGAAAAGCACGTATCCACGATGGCACGAAAAGCACGGATCGACGATGAGCATGAAAAGCACATATCCACGATGGCACGAAAAGCACGGATCGACGATGAGCATGAAAAGCACATATCCACGATGGCACGAAAAGCACGGATCGACGATGTGCATGAAAAGCACGTATCCACGATGAGCACCGAGCACGATGAGCACCGACCACCAAAAGCACGGATTGAAGATGAGCACGTTATCATGCACCAAAGTTTCCGCACGAATCCGCGATGATGAGCACGAAAAGCACGGATCCACGGTCAGCACGTGACAAAAAGCACAGATCCACGATGAGCACGTGGCCGTGCTCCAAAGAAAAGCACGGATCCTCGATGAGCACGATGGAGATGAGCACCAATGGAGAGAACACGATGAGCACCAATGGACAGAGCACGAATCGAAGCACGGATACACAGATCAATGATGAGCACGAATCCAAGCACGGCACCCAAATCCCGTTGAGCAGCAAAGGAGAGCACAGTGTGTGCGTGTATGTGTGTGTGTGTGTGAGAGAGAGAGAGAACAATGAGCACCAAGGAGAGCACCAAAGAGCGAACACGATGAGCAGCAATGAAGACAAAGCACGGATCCAAAGCACGGATCCAAGCACGGATGAGCACCGGCCAGCAAGTCGAACCAC